ATTACCTCACAGAAACTTCCCCTATTATCACCCCTATATCATTATCTCACAGACACTAACCTTCTCCCCTCACCCCCACTCTGTTCTAAAATTTGATTTGTCAATTTCACATGCGTTCATTTTTTTGATTGTATCACTTTGGTATATATGGTTGTGCCAATTTTCTTCCACATATTGATCTGAGGAAGTGGGTCTGGCCCACGAAAGCTCATCACCTAATAAACCATCTTGTTAGTCTTTAAAGTGCTACATAGTACTGTCTTAATAAAAAGTGTAATTGATTTTATAAGTGGGAGAAAGGCAGAGGTCAATATATTCTGTATCAATTGCTTACACAGTGCAAAATTAATACACAAGTGAAAATGTCTCTTTTCTAGAATTCATTAACTCTGAATCCACTGCAAAAAAAATTGCCAGTTGTATTAATTTACAATTATTGTCCAATTTGTTAGTCTAATTAAGAAGCTTAGAAAAGAGAGAGCAGGTCAGCTCTGTCTTTGTGTTTCACAATGAATTTGGCTAGTTTTATCAAGACATGGTGGTAATTTTTTTGTCAGCATCTGGAATGATGAACTCATTAACACAGACAAGAAGTTCCCTCAGTACATCTTTCCTGACAAATATTTAAGCAGCCTTGCATTCCCCCTCCCTCCCCCCACATCTGGTGCAAGCCCTTGATTCCCTTCTATTTTCACTTTTATATAAAACACACTTCTATAAGGCCAATAGACAATGTTTCAAACTATTTTATAAAATCCAGTGAAAACACTTGTAAAAAAACCCACTCACCAAATAAACACTTCTGGAGTGTTTGAATATCAGACATTAAAACCTGAAAATGAACCAAGCCTTATAGAGATTGTGGTCCAATTGGTCATTCATTATGAACATAATGAATAATAAATAAATTGAATTTTTTAGATTTTTGCTTCTAATAATCTAAAAGTTAGTTAATACAGACCAAAAAGTTTATTTGCAGCATATGTTTAAATTGAAAGCCTCCTTTTTACAATGGAAAAATGTTCCATTACAAGTACATTTTGAAATACATGCTCAGTTTATGGATGTTAAATTCAACTGATTTTGTTTACATTGGATTCATTACCATACGATTATTTACTCGGAGAGGGAAGCATATAGAAATTTAATTTATATGTTGTTGTTCAAATGGAGTTCTCTGGGATCTTAGAATCTCACATGCAGCAGATATATGAACCCTAGACATCAATAGCCAGTAGTTTTCCAGTATTGAATCCACTGTTGGTAGTAATCAGAGAGTTAAACTCACTGACATCCAAGTATAATGACAGGTCTCTGATTAAATTGAATAGGTATTCTATTCTGCAATACTCACTGCAGAGCCTTTTTGTTTTAAAGCCATAATGATTAATTATGTCCGTTTTTAAGCACAATAAAACATACTTTTATCTCCTAACTGGCTTTCTTAGTACAGAAATGGCTTCCAGGCAAATCAGAACTTGATGACTGAGCACCACATAATGTTCTCTTTTGTTCATGTTATTTCTTAACAAAACGTTGTGAAATTGGCACCCTAAAAGAATTACAAATAAATCTTTCTTGCACAAAGTGTCCAAATATGTCAAAATATTAATATTATATAATAGTCACTGGTATTTGGATGAAAGGATTGTAACAAGTTCCTTCTACAAAAGATAACATTTTAGCTACAGAATGAAGTGCCTTACTTTTATGGCCTACTTTTTGCTTATCTCAATAGCCTTCTGCTACTGCTTTTTGTTGTTGTTGCAAATACAGAGGCATGTTAGCTTTAGAGTCACCCTTTTAAAGGTGAGCTTGGCCGTATGTTTCCTGATAAAGCAAAAATTGCCCTGCATGATCAGCCATTTTTCTTTGGTAAAATCCTTACTCTCTTCACAATTGCCGTGAATCTGCCTGCATGCTGCAAGGATATGGATGGGAGGAGAAATTGCTTCTGGTATAATCCATGACAAACAAGAGAACAGCTATCTGCATGCTGCAAGGATATACATGGGAGGAGAAATTGCTTCAGGTATAATCCATGACAAACAAGAGAACAGCTAGAAACTGGCCCATATAATAAAACAAATTATTTTTGCTGTTAAAGTACATTTTTCCTCCTTTTAAGAAATTCATTATATGTCATTGAGAATGTTGCAGGTTTGCAAGATCAGGCCCAACTATTACATTAATATAACATGTCTGAACATCTCTAAAAACCTAATTGTTTTTAACACTCGTTTCCGTTTAGACCTATAAAGGAAGTATGCCCTTCCTCAGAAACTGTACAATTGATCAAAAGAAAAGGAAACCATTGTATCACTTTGACATTTTTTAATATTAATTAACCTAGATAAGGCTTTCAGTAAATACAAGGCATGGAGTTTCCATTACACTTACACCAGTAAAAGCTAGGCCTGCCAGTAAAATCATCTTGCCAAATGACTAATATTTTGCTGATGTTAATTTAGAAGGAATTTGCATGCAAATTATTTTTCAATAGAGCAAGCCTCCTTCTCTGATTACCGCTCCTACTATTCTACTAATTTTCATGTTCTTGTTGGGAAGGATTTATTGGTGACCTTTTGCAAACAGGAAGTGATTCAAAATTTCATATTACTCGTTCATAATAGAGCCACATCTTTTTGCAATCACATTCTGTGAGACCAGTCCAGGTATGTCTTCTATTACTTCACCTAGGGTGTGTCTAGACTACAGGGTTTTGTTGACAAAAGTCCACTTTTGTCAACAAAACTATACCTGCGTCTACACTACTGCCGAGTTCTGTCAACATAACGTCGACAGAACTCAGCAGTTTTGTCGACGGCGGTAAACCTCATTCTATGAGGAATAACGCCTTTTGTCCACAAAGTTCTGTCAACAGAAGGCGTTATTGCATCTACACTGTCCTTTGCGTCTACATTGTCATGTTGACAAAGTGGCTTGCTTTGTCGACAGAACTAGATGTAGTCTAGATGCTCTTTGTCGACAGAAGCTTTGTCGACAGTTTCTGTTGACAAAGCCTCTGTCGACAAAAGCCTGTAATCTAGATGTACCTCTAAGGTTTAAACCAATAATTCATTAAAGTAAATGAAAAACTATTTACTTATTTGGATTAGGGATGTGAAAGTTTAACCCATAAGCATCACCTTTAATGAGTGATGCTTACTCGTTTTGGTTGACCGGTAAGGGCTGAAGCAGCTCCCCACTTGCCACAGGGAGAGAGCTACCCAGCTCCCCGGGGCCGGCAGTAGACAGGGGCTGCTCTGGCCACCTGGAACAACTTCTGTCCACAGCGGGCACGGGCACAGCGCAAGCAGAGGCCATTCGTGCGTCACAGGTAGAAGAACCAGTCCAGCCTAGCCACAGCTGGACTCCAGCCCAGCCACAGCAGGCGGAAGAGCCACTCCAGTCCAGTTAGGCTGGAATGGCCCCCACACCTGTGCCTCCTTTAATCAGTTTACTAGTTAAACAGATTAACCAATTAAACAGGGTTTCACATCCATAATTTGGTTGCTTTATTGAGCCCATAAATTTCTTATTTTTGATGCTATTTTACTGTTTGCTTCTATTTGCTTGTTTAGCTACTCTGTGCAAGAAATCTGGAACTAATTTTTGTTGATAGCTGGATGCTTTAGTCAGGCATGTAACTGCTGCTGGAACTGAGCTTATCTCTGACTTAGTCAACTGAGTCAAATGTTAAACATATTGTGAAGATTTAAAATGGAAAATCTATTTAGGGTGTCAGATATCACTACTTTTTTAATTAAGATTTCATCATTGTCAAGAGACATTGGTTTTGTAGACGAAGACACTATCTCATGTTAATATAATAAAGGCTGCACCAGAAAGGGGTTCTCTGTGGTAAAAATGGGGCTGAGCCTTGACAATGGCTCTGTGCTCTCAAAAGGCACAGAAGATTATCTTTCAGAACTTCAGGTGGCATTATTTTATGCTTGTCCGCATGAGAACTGTGGGATTGAGCCCAAAGTGGTTTAATATTTGTTACTCAGTGTTAGTGTTTCCTGTGCACCCAGAATTCCTATTAATTTCAATGAAATTTTGAGTGCAAGGAACCTGGAATCTTTTAAGTTTCCTTCTTTACTTCATTATTTATCTTTAGACAGTTAAAAAGCTATAAAAATCCCTGTCCTGGTTATTGTAATTTTCTTAAAATATGATATTAATGTCTGATACCTGCCATCTAACTTGACATTTTGCTTCTTAACCAGAAGAACTTATAAAAAGTGACTATTTCAGAATTACTTATTTTCTTCCCCTAGTAAAAGAAGCAAGAAAGGAGATAAAAATGGAAAAGGTCTGAGGCATTTTTCAATGAAAGTGTGTGAAAAAGTCCAGCGTAAAGGAACAACATCCTACAATGAAGTAGCTGATGAACTGGTATCAGAATTCACAAATTCTAATAGCCATTTGGCTACGGATTCAGTAAGTAGATGTGGTATTAATTTTTTATTTTACAGCTATACAACTACTGTCATAACCTGGCACAGTGCTCTTAGAATTCTACTCTTTTTTTTTCTTCCTTGACTTGTCATGTTCCAATGTCTCTTTCAAACAGATGTCTCAGAGCAATGGATCTGGAGTTAGACTATTCCCAAAAATATCAACATGGAGTATATAAAGCTTTCCATTTTAAATATAGAATTAATACCACTGAATACGCTTTAAAATACAACAAATTACAGAGGCAACAGGCTGCCTTACAATTGGCTTTTAGAATATTCTGCTCACACTCCACCCCACATAAATGACAGTCTGAGGTGCTTCATTCTTCCTGAAATAGAGGACACCTGTCTTAAATGCACAATTTGTAATAACAAGGCCAACTGTAGTCTTAATTATGTGTACACACAATTGCTAAAGTTATTACATCAAATTAATCATTTTTGTTCTTAATTATGTGTGTACACAATTGCCAAAGTTATTACATCAAATTAATCATTTTTGTCATGATGGAAAAACATTTAGAAAAAAACAATTTCTGTAGAAGTAATTGTGCTATGCAGGTGGGGGCCACTGACCCACAGAAAAATCAGTCAGGGGCAGCACACAAGTGAGAAAAGTGAGAAGCAAAAAAAAAAAACCTCCTCACTGACAAGGTCCATGCTGAGCCTCAGAGACTGGATCCAAATAAGCCAGGTGCCACATCTGGCCCCCAGATCCTAGGTTCCCCAGCCCTGTGCTATAGGATATAATTGTATTTGATTGAGGCTATTAGTATTGTTTAGACCTACTAGCAATTTAATCAATAAATGAATTGCCAGGATTTAACTTGGATCATGTTAACATAAAACAGTAATTAGTTTGGGGGGAGCATAGGAAGTCCTTTGTGAAGGTTTAAAATACAGATTATAGCACATACATATGGAGAACAACCTAATATTGTTTCAATATCTTAGCTGTTTGTAAATGGTAAAAAACAAGTCTTTTCAATAAATACATTGTGATACATATTTAAAAGTTGGTTTAATTACAATTGATTTGTGAACGACAGTTCTTTATTTTAAACTGTGTAGCTCTACACGTTTTGTTAGGCTATAAAGTGCTACCAGACCATTTGCTTGCTTTTTTTTTTTTTTAATTATAAGGATACACATCTATCTATTCATTTGGAATTTTTACAGTGCTGATGCATCTTTTGTATAAAAAGTACTGTTTTAAGTACTTCTTTTAAAAAACAGTGTTTTCTATGATAGAGGCTCAAGTATGTGAGAGACGAGATTAAGCCTAGCCTAACAGTTTGTTTTTAATATACAGCATCAAGAAGCAGACAATTAATATTCTATTGCACATCACACTTTTTGCATGATCTCCCGGCTTTGGTTCAAATATGTTAGTGTTTTATTCAAAGCAATAACATAAATTAACACACGTGTTTTAGTGCCATTTTGACTTCAACTGCAATTTACCTTTATTCATATGTTGTTTTTGTATCTCAAAATTGTAGAGGGAAATTTCAAGCATTATCTTAATTTCAGCTTTTGCAGTGGTATTGGTCTAATTAATACTACAGTGGGGGGGTGTTTCTTGGCAGGCTTATGATCAGAAGAATATTAGGCGGAGAGTTTATGATGCTCTCAATGTGTTGATGGCAATGAACATCATTTCAAAAGAGAAAAAGGAAATCAAATGGATTGGCCTTCCTACAAACTCAGCTCAAGAATGTCAAAACCTTGAGGTAAGTGGATGGAAGGAAAATTCCTTCAGTTGCAGATGATCCGTGATAATGGAGAAGTATGACTTTGGAAACTATGTGTATTTTTATATTTGCATAACAAATGTTTAAAAATGTAAACTTTAAAAAATTGATTGCTTTGAATTATTGATTACATAAATAAAACCAACATTTGCTATTTACATTTTCACTGAAATATTTCTCATAGGGATAGCCATGTTAGTCTGTAATTTTAAAAACAACAAGCAGTCCTGTGGCACCTTAGAGAATAGTAAATATATTATATCATGATCCTTTGTGGCTAAAACCCACTTCATCAGAATATTTCTGTGAATATTCTAAGTATACCTACTGCATACTTTTATACTAGGGCTGTCAATTGATGTGCGTTAATGCCTGCGATTAATGCAGGGCAGGATTAACACCTTAATTTTTTTAAACACATTCATCACAGGCATTAATGCCTATAGTACCCAGGAGTGGGGCTGGTTCAGCACTTCAAAGGGCAAGAGCATTAGGAACTGGGGATCAGCTGGAGTGCCGGGGTGGCCTTTCCACGGGGCAGCGCTGCACTGAGCCTGGGGTCAGCTGAGGACTCCAGCTGATCCTGGGCTTCTGCAGTGCTTCCCCTTGGAAACACCACCACAGTGTTTCAAAGGAGCAGTGCACACGATTAATCATGCGATTAATCACGATTAAATTTTTTGATTGCTTGACAGCCCTACTTTATACCAAGCTAAAAATCCTGTTTGCCTGACAAAAACAAATACCAAGGAAGTCAGTTAAGGTATAAAAGGGCACTCATTCCCTGAGCATCTCCAAGCAGCCGGTGCAGTATTGCAATCCTTTTCATGCTTTTGGTGCCCCTGCCAGTTTTCTGTAGCTTGATCTTCTGACTTTGGAAATTAGCCAATGGAAGCTGCAAAGGCAGTGCTTGTAGTTGCGTGCAGCACATAAAGACCACTATCCCCAATGTGCTGCGCAGAGACGCATACCCTGGGCCCAGCAGCTGGCTGCTTTGAGCAGTGTGCATGGTCATAGTCACCAAGGAGACTTCCTGAGAGTCCTACTGGGCAATGGCAGGGCAGATGCAAATGTTTAGCAGGCTGGATGCAGCCTGCAGGCCATATTTGCCCACCTCTGTTCTAGATCTTGGAGGGCCACATCCCTCTAGTCTTCAACATGGCTGCTCCAGAAAGGCCTCTCTAAGTAGGCCTACAGGACCCAGGACTCCATTCTCCCACATCATTGCTTCCTTATGTGAAGTGTAGTAGAGCGTGGTGCCTCCTGTAGGGAGCTGCAAAGGCCAGGTACAACGGAAATACCTGTCCAAATCAGTCATAAGAGTGAGATGGGCAATTTGTGTCAGTTTTTGGGTTACTGACCCCAGAGAAATGGCATTGTTTGAAAGTAGTGCTCAGATGTCTTCCATACAGACACTCACTGCAGCTGAAGCTTAGAAAAATTAGGCTATAATTTAAGACTTCAAAAACCCATTCAGCTTTTTCTTTTACTCTTGACAAAATGTTTCACTTTGGAACACCATCAAATCACTGTGTAAGAAAGATATAGAATCTTGGAAGTAGACTCAGAAGGGAATTTAGATCAGGCTGCTGCCACTAGGCACAATTTCCCCACCTTCTATACAAATTTGCAATATTTGCAAGGGAAGGTTGCATCAGCTTGCCAATAAATAATTGGATAACATAATCACCCAGAGTCTGAAGGATCAGTTATGTCCATGGGAAGATCATTTCAAGATTATTCTCAATTGTCTGCTGCTTGCTGACCCTCTTCCATTTTAATATGAGCATGAAGTTCTAGTAAAGCCACCTTCCTTCATCCAAAAGGAGATCCAAATCAAAGGCCATAAGCTGAAGTCTTAAGAATGCATTAGGGGTTCATAACAGCACTCCACTGGCTCTTCCAATTCATCTAAGCACTAATATCATACCCGATGAACGGAAGAAGGATGCTATTCTGCTCTGTTCAAAAAGGGCGATGGATTTGAGTTTTTGCTTTTGTAGTATCTTGAATCTATTATGCATTTCATCCCAAAGGCTGCAATACTGAGTGTGGGTTTAGATCCGATCATTCCATTGTTGACTAGGTATTTGACTTTAGATAGACTTTTGAGAAAATGGTGGAATATAAGCTGTACACAGCAGTTTGCATAAACTTCCATCGGATCATTCACTCAGTGCTTTGTGGAAAATGATGAGGCTATTAAACATCTCTGGAAAGATAATGTCATTGACAGAAGAGCTCTAAAATGGAACAGATACTGTGTTTAAGTCAATGGCAGATAGGCGGCATGGTTTCCTATTTCCACAAGAGTTTGGCAAGGCTGAGTTCTGTCATCATCCGTTGTTAAACATGGATGTTGATGAATAAAACTTGGAGGCAACCATTGGTAGTGTTGAGCTGAACATGATTTTACTTCAAGATCTCAAATATGGTGATGACATTCTCTTGGCTTAGTTTGGTGAATCACTGCAGTTCATGGTAGGGATGTTAAATATCAGTTAACTGAATAGTCGAGTAACCTCAAGAATTCTTATCAGTTAGTTGACTAGTCTATAGTCGCCAGGGCTGGGGCAAGCAGCAGTGCGGGGTGCCAGGCGGGAGCTAGTCTGTGAGGAGAGCCAGTTTAAAAACCAGCTCCTCTTACGGACCGGCTTCTTGTCCCCCTGTGCTGCTGCCCCTGATAGAGGTAGCAGAACAGAGTGGCAGCAGCCCATCTGGGGAGGTGGGTCTGAGCTCCCACCCACCGCAAACCGGAACTGAACCAGGCTATCTGCCCACTTAGCTCCTAATACACTTTAAATGCAGAGCCTCAGCGAGGGGTAGGTCCTGGACCTGGAGTGAGCCAGAACTCAGCCAGGCTGCTAGCCAGCCTGCTAAAAATTTACTGGTTGGGATGAGGGGGGAAGTTTATAGCATTAGACTATAGCATTAACCTATAATACTATAGCATAAGTCTATAGCGTGTAGTCTATAGCATTAACTTATAAGCTTTTGCTAATCGATTAATCGACTACACTATTGCATCCCTATTTCATGGCCAGTCTGGTTGGATAGGAAGCAGTGTGCACTGGTTGGTTGAATAATCCAGATAAAACTAAGTCCATCAACTCATCTCCAACTCTGGATTACAACCAACACAGTATTAACCTGTCAATAGAAGTTATCAGCTGTCAGATATTTGGACAGCATCATAGACTGTGCAGAAAGATGGTCAAAAAGCTTGCATTCTTAAGTAAACTGCAGCATATGCTACCATGTTTTGGGCCCTTCTGTGGCCTTTGGGAACATCATGACATCGAGCATGCTCCAAAGCTACAGATCTATAGAATCATGCTTACCCCCCAACCCTGTGCTACAAAAGAAGTAAAATTTGGAGGCTAAAGAACTCTGGGTTGACATTATTTATTCTTGTTATCTTTGTCAGCTGCTCTATATCAAGTGTTAGAACAAGATCAAAAATGAGAATATTTAAAGCCAGAAACCATCTCCACCACTGATTTGGTTTCAAAAACTTTTTTGGCATGGGCATATTAATAAAAGGAAAACACCAAGAAATTCCAAGGTACAAAGGAATGCTGCTACATGGTGATCATGTGTGGGTCATAAACTTTGGTGGCCCGCTAAGATTGACAATAGCCACAAACTGAAGATACAGCTAAACCACTTGAATCAATTTGCTAGAATTCAAGCCAGATAGTATTTGATTTGTAAAAGAGGCCAAGTCCTGTTGGTATTTGCCATAATGATTTGTTTAGAAAAAGAATTTATTGATAAGTTAATATAGTTATTGATAGGCATGACTGAAGACATCTTCAAAAGGAATATCATGCAGGGATGCTGATCAGTAATTTCTAGTCAAGTAAAGTAAGAAACATTTTAAAAATTGCCTGTTGAATCTTTTGTCTGGCATTTTCAGCAGTGAGAAAACTGTCGTCATTGGGAAGGGGGAAGCCAAACTTTCTCTGTGAAAATATTGCTTGCTCTGTGGACAGTAGTCATGTATCTTGCACAAGACCAGTGTCACTACGTTCACAGCAAAATATTGCATTGATTAGCAGAAAATACAACATATCAACCTCCATCAAATGTGTTTATTTTCTGCAATTACTTTAATAAAATATCTGGTTTTGTACACCTAGTGAAAAGCAAGTTATTTTATACAGTTCTATTCACGTTGTAGGACTTTGAAATGGGCAATGGGAGAGAAGAAAAAAAAAAGAAAAACATTTACTGACTTTAATCATTGTGTTAAACAGTAGGCTGATAGATATGATAAACCCAGGAAAAAAGGCCTGATCATTTTGAATTTAATTTTACTATAATTGTGTTTAAATATTTTTTAAAGTTTTTGGTTTTAATTCACACCTTTTAAACTCAGTTTGTGTCAATGATTAAATGAATTATTTGCTTTGAATCATGTTACCATGAAATGATAAACTTTGATATTATTGTTCGCACTTTTTGTTATCTACATTGAGAGCTCAATCAAATTTAACCTCTTATGCCCTTTTGTATTTATTACTTTAGTTACGCAAGCCTCTGAGCACAGTGAAAACAAGTCATTTCCTTAAAATGTTGCTGTCAGTGTCTTTTAAAGAAAAGAAATAAAGTTGTGTTTTCACATGTGCTTCAATCAATAGATTTACCAATTTGAAAATACACTATTTTTTTCTTGAATACAGGGTATCTTGAAGTTATCTTAAACACAAGCAAAAATGTACTTCTGTGTGAAAGTCACCTTCTAGAGAAAACACAGAAAAATCAATATGTAGCGAGGATAAATTATTAGACCTTGTACAGTTTATTGATTTTGATACTCTTATAGGTCAAGCAAAGCTAGGACCTAGTCACACTTAACTGTAATCATTGTAAATATTTTATTTTGTTTGTAGTGGAGTTAGGCTTTATAATATTATGGGTTGGAACCATGCAATTTGAATGGAGAGGTAATTAAAATAGGGTTTAATGTAATTGGGAGCCAAGATATATTAGTGTTTTACAGCAGCAAGAACATTAAAACCTAGAACATTCAAAATAATTATACAGGTCAGCACAGTAGCTTCATTAGACAGTTCACCTCTTTGGATTTCTTCAGGACTCTGTTTGATTTAAAGTATAGATTCTGGTGTTCTGGCAGCATGGGTAGAGATCCTGAAGTATCATTATCCTGAATACTATTGAAAATGGTTTTGTTTATTCCATTTGTATCACCATGGCTTCAGGAAGAAACTGGTAGCATAATAGTCTAATTGTTCTACCTCAACCTCTTGTGACTTGTTACTAAATTCTTGCTAGGCTACCCAGGTTTCAGGTAAAAATATGCCATTCAAGATGGTCCTGAGCCCAGTCTTGATAGTTGCCTTTCAGTCCTCAGTAAACTGGGAGCATGAGAACTGTTGATGGGGTGCTTTTTAATGCGTTTGAGTCAGAATAGGAAAACAAATGCTTTCTTGTGTGTCTATGATGGCTCTATTTTAGTAGCATGCAGTATTTCTGATGGGGGTTAGAGAAAGTTCCTACGTATGTCCAACAGGGAAAAATAAGGGAGAGGACATACTTCAAGTTAGATGGGGGCGGGTATCAGTCTTTTTAAAGAAGCGAAAGTTATATAAAAGCAAAAGATGAGGTTGTAGTTCATAATTAAGTCATGTAAATCCTAGTTCCTGGAGATGCCCAACTATGTGATTAGTCCACATGAGAGAGGAGAAAGCTAGAGGACAGCTGAGGTGGAGTTTGGAAGGATTTTCAGTTTTATATACCATGCCCTATAACCCACCTCCCTCAAAATTTAAAATTATACTGTGAATTTTTGTAAGCGTATTAGTATTTCACTTGCTTTATTGCAAAAATCTATTTTATTTTAGGCAGAAAACAAGACTAGGCAATTTATATATTTACAATATTGTATTTTAGTGTGTCTAAATTTATGTTCTAAAGATAGAGAAACAAAGACGGCTGGAACGAATAAAACAGAAGAGAGCCCAGCTTCAGGAATTACTATTACAGGTAAATTTAATTTTTATTTGTACAGTCACCAGGATACAAATCTAATACGTTATCAAAAAACTGTTAAGCTTCAGAGTATTTTTTTCTCCACTTTATAAAGTCAATGAAAGAGATACTACAGTATATCTGAATCCTGGCCTAAAATGCCCCTACCATCCTAGCATGGGGCCTCTTCTCTAGATGTAGCCTCGTGGGACATATTTGACATTGTCTGTTGAAGAGCAGATTAATATAATCTACTCCACATCATTATGACGTTTTGCAGACATTCAACTCCTGCTGATTTGACACTGATTTCAGTGGAAGCAGGAGCACAGGTCCCCCACTTGATCCCTCTGACAAGCTACCATTGAAAAATACAGTTTTCAACAGGCGCTTGTATGGGTTTAGTTGTACATTCCACAGCTGAGAATCTGTTGTTGCTGGGGAACTGAAACTGCAGGATCTTTATTATAAAAGAGTCATGAGTCCAGGCCTGGCACTTATTTCACATTTTGATGCAGTCACCTAGGAAAGCTTTTTGAAATCTGCTGATTAGGCTTGGAATGAAGAAATATTGTAACTTCAAATGATTTATATTTGCAAAGAGGGCATTTCATTTTTTTAAAAGCCTACAATTTATTTATAATGTTTGGATATATGCCTGCATTTTGAATACTTTACACATAATGGTGCATTTGCATGAAATCACAAGCTAAAATCATAGGGTAGTATAAATGAATTTTTTATTTGCTTGGTGCAAAATATGATGGAGTTTTACATCCAGTCAGCTGCGTAATGAAATTCTAAGCTTTTGGGAAATTCTGGTTTTCTCTGTAGCAAAAATATTTTTTATAAATAGTGGAATCTGATTCTGACCTTGTTAACCCTGGTAAACACCCAAAACAACTCCAGTGAAGTCACACTGGTAACAGGAAAATTAAACACATAAACACGTGAGTGAGGAGTTTATGGATCTGTTTTATGATAGCTCTTAATATTTTCACCATTCAAATAATTTTAGAAATTCTTTCCATTTTATGTTTTGTGGTTCTGTTGACTGGAATCAGTAATGCAAAATAGGTATGTAAACATGTAGCTGAGTACACAGTTAACCAGTGAGCCTGGTTTTGTTGGTTAACCCTCTTGGGTACATGCAGCTCTCCTCCTGCTACCTCTGTATCTGCCTGCCCCCTCCCCAACTGCCTCCCACAGAGGCAACAGCGATTGCGGGGCGGGGGAGTAGGGGGACCAGTGCTCATGGCGAGCGCTGGCTCCTGCAGACACACGAAGCTGCCTTCTCTCCACCCACATCTCTTGCGCTACTGCTTCTGATTAAAAACAACTCCCTGCAAGCACTGGCTCCCGCCTCTGCCCCTTTCCCCCATGTGTAAATTTGTACCTGCTGAAAATTACACAAATAAACAAATTTTAACATTTCTAGTGCAAAATATGGACTACAGATAATGTCAGATATCCCAGATTATTGCTAATCATTGCAGTCTTCACTATATATTAAATCTTATAGCAAAAGATGAGCTGTGAAGAGAAGGAAATATTTAAGAGTTATGAAAGTGGATAATATCAAAGTTAAAGATTTGCTAGGACTGGATGATATAAAATGAAGAAAGGAAAAAAAGGGAGGATGGATAGGAGAGTAGAGAAGAGGGGAGCAGAGTCCACTTGAAGTATAACTTTGTTATTTTTACATATACTGAGCTTCTAAATTGATGTAATTATTCACCCCTGGGTAGTCAGTAAGATCTTTCAATTTTGAGCCCAAGTTCCAAATGTGTGGAGATGCTCTGTTTCATGAGTAGGGTTATACCAAATTCACATTTCATTTTGATCACTTTCGCAGTCATAGGATTTTAAAATAATAAGTGTCATGATTTCAGCTATTTAAATCTGGAATTTCACTTTGTTGTAATGGTAAGAGTCATGACCAAAAAGGAGCAGAGGGGGCATAGCTGCCACTCATCAGTCACCCAGCTGTGAAGAAAATAGCACAGTCAGGTGGCATGGTATGGTATTGCCACACTGATTTCTGCGCCTTTAGAACTGGACCCTCAGTCAGCAGTTGCCATTCTCTGGCCACCCAGGGCTGAAAGCAGTACAGAAGTAAAGGTGGCAATACCATGATGTCCTTAAAATAACCTTGCAGCTCCCTTTTGGGTCAAGATCCCCAATTTGAGAAATGCTGCTCTCCCCATGAAGCCTGCATAGTATGGGCCAAAATTACAGAATAGACCGGATTTCAAAGTCCCGTAGTGTATTTTTCATGGAGGTGAATTTGGTAGGATCCTACTCATGGGCATTGAACTCAGTACCATGCTTCCCTCCGCTCCAGAGATCGCAAGAGGAGTATGTCTGCTATGCCTGTATTGAAAGGGTGCAGCATACTTCCTTTTTTCTGGCCAGCAAAAGGAGAATTTGTTTGCCTGCCCAGAGAGTTGAGGCTGTGTCCACCCCATCCTTGGAGAGTTGATAGACAGATGCTAGATGTACTGATACTTGGTTACTAAAACAGCTGTAAAAACCCAGATTACGAAACATTTCATTTGAATAACAGTGATAATTTTCCTGTCTCTTTTTTCTTTCTCCAGCAAATAGCATTCAAAAATTTGGTACAAAGAAATCAGCAGAATGAACAACAGAACCAAAGTCCTCCAGCTTTGAATGCTACAATACAGCTCCCTTTCCTAATAGTCAACACTAGCAAAAGAACTGTTATAGACTGCAGCATATCAAGTGATAAGTGAGTGTGATGTGGAACCATATATCGGAATATACAGTCTTCTTTGTAATCAGTATGGGATTTTTCTTTGAACACAGACTATGCATTTCATACTGAAACTAATTGCACATTTGCATTTTCCTTTCAGGGCCCTGGGGCTGGCTGCCAATCAGTTGTTCAGCAGCTGGTGGGAGGCACTTGGGGGAGGGCAGAGAGGGTTCAGCATCAGCCAGCCTTGTGGAGAGAGGGCTGAAAGAAGCAAGTGCAGGGCAGGTGGGGGAGGTTTGGGGGAGGAAGCAGGGAGGTGGGAAGAAGCAGAGCAAGGGTGGAGCTTCGGGGAAGGAGACAAAATGAGGCAGGGCTTCAGGATAGAGCATTCACTGGGCAAAATAAAATAAGTGCTTACAGTGCTTGCTACCTCTTTCAGCATACTTAACCACTATTGTGGTTTTATAAAACGTATGATACACGGTCTACAATTCATAGTCAGAGTTATATGACTTGTTCAAAATTATAAGGTGGAAATAAATGCCGGAGCCAAGTCAGAAAACTCTGAAATAGATGTTTGGTTCATTTTATTGGCCCCAGGCTCTTTGGCTGTGTCTACACTGGCATGAATTTCCGGAAATGCTTAAAACAGAATAGTTTTCGTTATAAGTATTTCCGGAAAAAGAGCATCTATATTGGCAGGCTGCTTTTCCGGAAAAGCCCTTTTTCCGGAAAAGAATCTGTGGCCAATGTAGACTCGCTTTTCCGGAAAAGAGCCCCGATCGTCATAAGCTGCGAGCTGTCTACACTGGCCCTTTTCCGGAATAGTGTTCCGGAATAAGGACTTATGCCCGAGCAGGAGCAGCGTAGCTTTTCTGGAATAGCGGCTGATTTTGTACAGTAGAGCATCGTTGCTTTTCTGGAAATTCAAGGGCCAGTGTAGACAGCTTGCAGCTTATTCCGGAAAAGCGGCTGATTTTCCGGAATAAGTGGCCCAGTGTAGACACAGCCTCTGTCTTTAGTGAATTGTAAGATAGAGGGGAATGAAAGTATGCAAAAGTTAGAAATATTGCATTTGTGTTATTTCTTGGGTTATGGTTTATTGCATTATGGATTTAATTGTAAGCTTTTCTTTGGCATTAACCTGTGAATATTATACATGAGGAAGTCTGTATAATATGCTCCTGGATTTTGCTATTTGTTCTCAGCTCTCTTGTGAGTTCTATCAGTTGGTAAAATAATATAATCTTGATGTATTATTGTTTATTATATCATTAACTAGTCTGTTAGTGGTAAATAGGTCTCTTTCCTTGAATGTTATTTATGAATTTCATTCTTCGGTATATTGATTTTTATGGTGAACTTGAAACTTTAACATTAAGTAGAATAACAGTCCCTAATTGCTTCATTTTTAACATCCAAATTACAGTTCTGACTATGCTGAAGTTGATGGTGAATATGTATAATCAGGACCCTGTGTACACGGCAGCACAGTTGGCTGAACATTCTTATAAGAGGCCTCAGTTCTGCAATGCGCCAGTGTGGTTGCTTGGAAACACTATGCCAGCTACTAGTAGATTAAATATGGAGACTTTATTGAATATTTATTCAATAAAATATAGTGCAGCACAGTATTTCCTCCATTATTTTTATATTGACCCTAATTTTTAAGGTTTATAATAATTGTAAATCGGTTAAAATTTTTTGTAATGAAAATTCATAACTGCAATGTATAAGTTGTTGGAAGGTACGCAGAAGCTTTTGGTATCTAGGAAAACATGGGAAGTGGTAGTTCAAATGACTGATATAATCAGCATTCAGTATTAAAATCCAATTGAGATGAGTGGGACAAGTACACACCTCTAAATCCAATGTCTGCATCTCAGAGGCTTGTTTATACTGTATTTTTTCCTTACAATTTCTTTCTGTTGCCACTCCCTGTGCAGTCACCAGTGTTCACACCAGTGGGGTGCATGTGTAGATAAGGTCCCGGCACCTGCTGGTGGTTTAATCACTATAAAATTAGGGCTGCCAATTAGCTGCTGTTAACTCAAGCTGTTAACTCAAAACAAATTAACTAAAAAAAATCTTGATTAATCACTGTTTTATTTGCACTGTTAAACTAATAAGTACCCATTTAAAATTATTATAACTATTTATGGATGTTTTTCTACTTTTTCAAATATGTTGATTTAAATTAAGACAGAATACAAAATGTACATTGTTCACTTTATCAGATTAATTTTATTAAAAATATTTCCACTGTAAAAAAAAATATAGTATATTTCAATTCACTTTATACATATACTCTAATGCAAGCTCTTAATTATGAAAGTGCAACTTGAAACTTTAAAATATGTATTTTAGGCTGCAAAATTTTACACAGTTCATTTTTGAGTGTAAAAATTTAAACTTTTTTACATTGCAAATATTTGTAATAAAAATTAAATGAGCACTGTACACTTTGTATTCTGTGTTGTAATTGAAACCAGGATAGATGGAACTGTAGAAAAATACCAAAAAAAATTAAATAAATTATATTATTGTGTAACTGTGCAGTTAAAATTGATTAATCACAATTTTTTTATCCCACAATTAATTGAAATGAATTTTTTAAAATAATTTGACAACCCTGTATGAAAGCAGTTTGTTAGGTGAGAAGACATCACAGTTGTTAAAATATTGGTGTTTGGCCTATACAAGTGCTGCAACAACAGGACATTTTAATTAAAAAAGCCCAGTGTAGACACTGCCTGGTGCACCCCAAAGCACTGGTTTGCACTTGGTTAATCTTTAGAAAGTTTTCTTTTCACCCATATAGGCTAGAAAAGCAATTTTTAAAATATAAAATCTGGGATTCTAGAGCAGTACACCATAGTAGGGGGTGAATGAATTTTATTGAAGAAATGCAGAGCATATGGTACATATAACTTTACTACTAATATCAACACAGCTTAGCTCAAGAGTTATTTCTAGATACTGTTCAGCAAACATTGTTTTGTTAAACATTCCTAAGAAACTTTGAAATTACTATACAACTTAGTATTTTTTATGTGATTTTTTTTTTTCAGGGATTGTCTACACAAAAAAGATATAACTCTTCAACTATACTGATATAATTACAACAGTACAACCCACCAACAGTGGATATTTATATCAGTACAGAGGTACCTAATACTGATATAGGTTATTGCCCTACCCATATTGTTAACCTATAGCAGTATAACTGTGTCCACGCTAAAGGTTGTACCAGTATAGCTATATAATTTTAAAAAAATATCCTAACAGTTTATACTGTCCTAGTTTGTGCTGATACAGAAGCTATGTGTAGATCAGGACTTGGGCCCAGTCCTTCAAACACTGAAGCATGGTTAATAGGTATTCAAAAAGTAGTTCCATTCAGGGAGCTGTTGGCACTCCTCCAAACTTCTCCAACCACAAAATAAACTGTTTCCATGTCAGTTGCTAGAATGAAATCCTGCTTACTATAGATCAGTGCAACAATGGGTAACCAAGGCTAGTGAGTGGGCTACATGAGTGGCCCTTCTTCATCTCAGTGGGCTGTAAGATTGTCTTAACCAAGACAGTCTCCCAGGATAGGGTATGTTTTCTATCTAGACATGTCTACCTGCAATTTGCAGGCTGTGTCGATTGTACTGTAACAGCGCTTTGATTGGAAGCGACGGGAGCTCACAGTTCTCAGTGAATGCTATGTGCAATCAACACACACCTCACTACATGTGCCCCTTGCTTTATATGTGTGTTGCTGTTGTACAGTGTTACTCAAAGTAGTCTACGAAACCACATTGAGAAACCTGCTAACTGTCCATTCCGGTGTGTTTATTTACCGGCTCCGTGGCCATGGAGCCTCGCAGCCACCATTGGCTACAGTTCATCATTTGCAGTCAAAGGGAGCCACAGGAAGCTGTGGTCCAGCCCATGCCATTTCCCGGGACTTCCTGTGGCCTGGAATTGACAATACTATAATTTCAGTATGGTCATGGGCTCTCTTAATCCTCTTGATTGAGTGGGATCCACCTATGGCATCAAAATGAGATATTTCTGACTAAACTGTGCAGATCATTGATCTCTTCTTTCCTTTTTCGCATGAGGAATAAAAGAATTAACAGTGCTGACATATAAATCATCATTACTGGGCACCTAAATTTACACCATAATGAAATAAATGGGGCAGTTCATACCTTTCAGCGCTATTGTTTCAGATTCTTTGAAGACTTGCACCTCTTCTTCAGTTCATGTTTTTAAGGTTTTCTCATGTTAAAATGAAATTCTGAAGAACATAGTAGCTTTAGATATTTGCCAAATTGTCTCCGTCTCCATTTATATTAGTGCTAGTATTGTTATGAACATTTTAATTTTTGTTGGTTTGGGATCTCAGGTTGCACAAGCATTGAAGAAATAGTCTTGTTTAAGCTTGGCAAATGTTTCGTGATCAGGACAGGCATTCAACAAAAAAATGTTTTCTAGGGATCTGGGCTTACCTAAGTTTCAGTAGACAGTAGAGTTATTTAAAATAAGAAATTATTCAGTCTCTGATTAAACTTCCTTTCTGTTGTGGGTGGAAGAAGTGACAAGTTGCTTAAAATAAATTGTAAACAGTTGATTATTCTCCCTTATTTATTGAAAAGAATTGGCAGCTTCTGGCCTATTTTCAGGATCGCAAGCAGGCCAGAGTACAGGCTGAGTTGCTAATGCAACAACTCAAGAATATAGTGCTCATCTACGCAACAAAGGTTTTATAATCTAGCTATTCCAGCAACACCTGCTGGTGGAGATGCCATCATAAACAACATGAACTACTATCAAAAAGACACTTCCGGTGGTATAAATTGCCTTTTGCCGACATAGCTATGCTGGTTAAGGGTCTGGTTTTTCTTTTCTCAATCCTGGCTGCAATAACTATGCTGGCAAAACCTGACAGGGCTATTCGTTTTCTAACATATAGGACTTGTAAGCAAACAGCTTTAGAAGGTTGTTGTTTAATTGACAGACTATCCAAAAGGTGATTTACCTTGATGTAAATAGGTCAGTTCACAGTGGGGATTTTGTGGATTAGTACAGAAAGTTTAAGGCAAAAGCAGCAAAAATAAAAATGGGTTTTTTTGGTGACAAGGTTGTAGAAGACCTTAAAAAAACTATTGGATTTAGTACAAGAAAACGTTCTTGCTGGTGCAGGATTTTTTCCCTGATCTTTTAATCTGTTTAATGAAGGAGAAAAGTTCATGGGCTATTATTGCCTGCAATGGAAAAAATGGTTTTAATTGGGGAAGGTGGTCGTTTGAATCCTGCAGAGATGCCAGTCTACAGAAGAAAAGTTCTTTTTTTAAAAAACTCTGAGTAGGAATAAAAAGCATCTTAGACCTCCAAAGAAATCATAAAATATTGCAATTATATCTGGACACTTACTTACTTCCTCTATGTAAAGCACAGGAAAATATAATCAGGCCCATGGCTCCTTCCACAACCATCTCACTTTGAAATTTCTCCTGTACAGATTTGAATACCTCTTTAATTTTGATAACACGTTTGAAATACATGATGATATTGAGGTGTTGAAGCGAATGGGAATGTCCTTTGGTCTAGAGGCAGGCAAATGCTCAGCTGAGGATCTAAGAACTGCAAAATCATTGGTGCCAAAAGCTTTAGAAGGCTATGTCACAGGTAAGTTAAATGAAGCTTTTAATATTATCCTTGATTAACTTCAAAGTCATAATTTACTGAAGCATTTCTAATGATGTCAAACTACATAAACATGAGGTATAAGACAGTTTGAAGCAGCTTTATGAAAGCCAGCAGGATCCCACAAATGAATGGTGCCTTTAAAGTTAATCTTCGATGGGTGCACACAGACTTAATTTTAAATTGTTTCAAATAGAGATTCCTGGATGGGCAGCAGTGCAAAGGAATAATTCTGTTAATAATTTCTGGTGACAACATAACCCCTGAGCTCCTAAAATGACAATATTTTTCATGTCTTTGTTGCTCCTTTTTAGGCTCCAAAGAATTCTGGAAAACAGGAAAGATCTATAAAAGGGAGTCCATCCTCTTCTTCTCTCTTTTCTCCAACTCTTCCCAAAATGTGTGGAATAGAGAGTAAGGATATAAAAGACTAGTCAATTAGTCGAGTCAGCTACTTGCATTTCCCTCCCTCCTCCCCTTTGCTGCCTCTATACCAGCTGCAACTGGAGGCTGCTCCACCACAGCCCCTGTCCACGAGGGTTCCCAGCTCCCTGCAGAGACCCCCGCGGACAGGGGCTGAGCGAGCTGGGACTGAGTGAGGCTGACTCAGTCCCGGCTCATGCTGGGTCCAGGAGCTACCCCCACTGTGTCTGTACAGTTGAATGTAGTCAGAGCCGAACTGCCTGCGCTGCCAGTTCATATTACATTTAAATTGAAGAGTTATAGCAGGGGTAGCACCTTCCCTTATTGACTAATCTGGATCGACTACATGATTACCTAATTACCCGCCTCTTAACATCCTTAATAGAGTACTTTAGCAGCAGACAGATCTGCTATTAGACTAATATCATTTATGATCTTAAATTTTACGAAGTGTTAATGTTTACATTGCTCTTTCAGCCTTTTGAGGAGATTCTCCTTATAAATATGTCATTTTGCATGGACCACATATTCCTTTGTATTTGTACAGCATGTAGCAAAATGAGAACCTGATTTTAATTGGCCCTCTGAGTACTGTTGTATTTTCTTACTATATATTTTAGAAATGTGTATCTATCTGTCTGAGAGTCCATTTGTTCAAGCAGTCCTCCTAAATGGTAAGAGCTAGGACCATCAAATTTGGTATGCAGCTTCCTCTTATCATAACTAAAGCATGGTCAGAGTTTGGTTGAGCCAAGATAATGGGATGTTTCATATGAAAGGGAAAGGTGTGATAACAGAGACAGTTATACTTACACATGACCACAGGGGAGCAGCAAGCATATGAGGCAGTTATACTCACCAATGACCACAGAGAGAGGGGGGCGACATGTACCCAGTCAATACAGGGATAATTGAAATCCCCCATTATTACTTTGGTTTTTTTATTGTTATAGCCTCTCTAATCTCCTTTGGCATGTCACAGCTACTATAACTGTCCTGATCAGGTGGCTGGTAATATATCCCTACTGTTATATTCATATTATCAGAGCATGGAATTACTATCCATAAAGAGTTTGAGATACAGTTTGGTTCATTTAAGATTTTTATCTCATTTGATTCTGTTTTCTTTCACATGTTTTGCCACTCTCCCATCAGCACCGCCTGTTCTGTCCTTCCAATATATTTTGTACCCTAATATGATTGATTGATTATGCTCATTCCACCAAGTTTTTGTGATGCTTATTATATCAATATGCTCATTCAACATGAAGCACTCTAGTTCACCCATCTTATTACTTAAACTTCTAGCATTTGTGTATATATAAAAAGTCTTGGTTCCCTTTCCTATAGCTAAGAATAGAAGATTACTTTTTAATACTTTGTTCCCTAGGTAGAGAGCTCTTATAGGAAGTAACGGTTTTTCTGCTGCAAATGCAAGTAAAGAATTGTGTCTTATAGAAAAAGCAATTTTATGATTTTCCCTGGGAGGATAATGTAATTTGAAGTTATCTAGTCACTTAGATGAAAATTTCTAATCTATATATCAATACAAGTTTTTATATTCTTAAAGAATCAAATTTGTTGTTGTTGGCATACATTCTTTATTAACATACTAGCATTCACATAGGTGTCCGGCTGCTAATCACAAATTCTGTATTGACTTACTGTTATTCAAAATACTCTGGACCAGTCCTATACTCTTTAGATGTGAGTTGCTTTGAGTACATTTTTCAAATCTGTCTTCTTTTGGTTATGAGAAAATGTGGGAAAGTTCTAGTTTTCTAATCCAGTATTGTATACAAAAGTGTGTGCAGTTAGTTCAAAGTTCTTTATTGGTTGTATCTAATTTAATTTTTCAGTGTGAGGCTGTAACAACATCAGTATAAATCAGGGATTGGCAACCGACAGCACATGTATCGTAAGTGGCACGAGCCAATTTTTAGTGGAACACGCCATGGGAGCTCAACCCTGCTCTCTCCTCTCCCGCACAGTGAGGAGCCCATGCTGCTGCTTGAGCCTTGTGGCCAGCACGCAGCAACAGCAACAGCTCTAGAGGGAATGAGGCTGCTACTGAAGCTGCAGCTAGAGTCAGGCTCTGGTGAGGCTGTCCCTGCTCCATGGCAGCCATGCAGCTGGGGACAGGCTGGAGCCAGGTTGGGGTGCAGGACCAGATAGAGATTCCTGGATGGGCAGCAGTGCAAAGGAATAATTCTGTTAATAATTTCTGGTGACAACATAACCCCTGAGCTCCTAAAATGACAATATTTTTCATGTCTTTGTTGCTCCTTTTTAGGCTCCAAAGAATTCTGGAAAACAGGAAAGATCTATAAAAGGGAGTCCATCCTCTTCTTCTCTCTTTTCTCCAACTCTTCCCAAAATGTGTGGAATAGAGAGTAAGGATATAAAAGACTAGTCAATTAGTCGAGTCAGCTACTTGCATTTCCCTCCCTCCTCCCCTTTGCTGCCTCTATACCAGCTGCAACTGGAGGCTGCTCCACCACAGCCCCTGTCCACGAGGGTTCCCAGCTCCCTGCAGAGACCCCTGCGGACAGGGGCTGAGCGAGCTGGGACTGAGTGAGGCTGACTCAGTCCCGGCTCATGCTGGATCCAAGAGCTACCCCCACTGTGTCTGTACAGTTGAAATGTAGTCAGAGCCGAGCTGCCTGCGCTGCCAGTTCTTATTACATTTAAATTGAAGAGTTATAGCAGGGGTAGCACCTTCCCTTATTGACTAATCTGGATCGACTACATGATTACCTAATTACCCGCCTCTTAACATCCTTAATAGAGTACTTTAGCAGCAGACAGATCTGCTATTAGACTAATATCATTTATGATCTTACACCCGCCTCTTAACATCCTTAATAGAGAGTACTTTAGCAGCAGACAGATCTGATATTAGACTAATATCATTTATGATCTTAAATTTTACGAAGTGTTAATGTTTACATTGCTCTTTCAGCCTTTTGAGGAGATTCTCCTTATAAATATGTCATTTTGCATGGACCACATATTCCTTTGTATTTGTACAGCATGTAGCAAAATGAGAACCTGATTTTAATTGGCCCTCTGAGTACTGTTGTATTTTCTTACTATATATTTTAGAAATGTGTATCTATCTGTCTGAGAGTCCATTTGTTCAAGCAGTCCTCCTAAATGGTAAGAGCTAGGACCATCAAATTTGGTATGCAGCTTCCTCTTATCATAACTAAAGCATGGTCAGAGTTTGGTTGAGCCAAGATAATGGGATGTTTCATATGAAAGGGAAAGGTGTGATAACAGAGACAGTTATACTTACACATGACCACAGGGGAGCAGCAAGCATATGAGGCAGTTATACTCACCAATGACCACAGAGAGAGGGGGGCGACATGTACCCAGTCAATACAGGGATAATTGAAATCCCCCATTATTACTTTGGTTTTTTTATTGTTATAGCCTCTCTAATCTCCTTTGGCATGTCACAGCTACTATAACTGTCCTGATCAGGTGGCTGGTAATATATCCCTACTGTTATATTCATATTATCAGAGCATGGAATTACTATCCATAAAGAGTTTGAGATACAGTTTGGTTCATTTAAGATTTTTATCTCATTTGATTCTGTTTTCTTTCACATGTTTTGCCACTCTCCCATCAGCACCGCCTGTTCTGTCCTTCCAATATATTTTGTACCCTAATATGATTGATTGATTATGCTCATTCCACCAAGTTTTTGTGATGCTTATTATATCAATATGCTCATTCAACATGAAGCACTCTAGTTCACCCATCTTATTACTTAAACTTCTAGCATTTGTGTATATATAAAAAGTCTTGGTTCCCTTTCCTATAGCTAAGAATAGAAGATTACTTTTTAATACTTTGTTCCCTAGGTAGAGAGCTCTTATAGGAAGTAACGGTTTTTCTGCTGCAAATGCAAGTAAAGAATTGTGTCTTATAGAAAAAGCAATTTTATGATTTTCCCTGGGAGGATAATGTAATTTGAAGTTATCTAGTCACTTAGATGAAAATTTCTAATCTATATATCAATACAAGTTTTTATATTCTTAAAGAATCAAATTTGTTGTTGTTGGCATACATTCTTTATTAACATACTAGCATTCACATAGGTGTCCGGCTGCTAATCACAAATTCTGTATTGACTTACTGTTATTCAAAATACTCTGGACCAGTCCTATACTCTTTAGATGTGAGTTGCTTTGAGTACATTTTTCAAATCTGTCTTCTTTTGGTTATGAGAAAATGTGGGAAAGTTCTAGTTTTCTAATCCAGTATTGTATACAAAAGTGTGTGCAGTTAGTTCAAAGTTCTTTATTGGTTGTATCTAATTTAATTTTTCAGTGTGAGGCTGTAACAACATCAGTATAAATCAGGGATTGGCAACCGACAGCACATGTATCGTAAGTGGCACGAGCCAATTTTTAGTGGAACACGCCATGGGAGCTCAACCCTGCTCTCTCCTCTCCCGCACAGTGAGGAGCCCATGCTGCTGCTTGAGCCTTGTGGCCAGCACGCAGCAACAGCAACAGCTCTAGAGGGCAGGTGGGGAGGCTGCT